CAGTGAAAGACAGGCAGATAAAGAAAATCGGAAGAAGGAAAAGAAACAAAATAAGGAAATCATAGAAAAGAAAGAAAAACAAAATAAAGAAGTCCAGGAGAAGGAAGAGAAACAAGATAAGGAAATCCAGGAGAAAGAAGAGGCGCAAGACATTGAGAAAGAACAAAAGATGACAGGGTAACTAAACTGTTAAACTATTAAACTAATAAACTATTAACAGCTATTTGCATAATTGAATATATATATGTCTTAAGATTTTAGGATCTGTCGACTTATTGATATTTTGTCTTTTATCTATATCTCTACAATTCAGTAATGTAATTTATTTTTGATGATATAATGTATAATTCCACCTTTATAATGTACACTTTGATTTATTTTGCCAACATGAAAGGTATAAAACCATTTTGAGAGAACTTGTGGACACGTCCTTGGTGAAGAACTTCTATTTCATAAATTTATGCTTTGGCGTCAATTTTGTGTGCTCTTCCGACTTTGGTTTTTCTTTTCTTCTTCCTCTTATAATGACTGATGCGGGATATCCAAAAACCTATGCCACACTGAGTGTCACAGTTAGTGGAATAGCTGAGCTGGCATCGAAAATTTTATTGTCAGTTTTTACACTGATAATAAACATAAAATCGAAGTATATATTCTTTGCCGCTACAATCTTGATGGGATTCGCAAGAATGGGTAATTATTTAATTCTATAGCTGAGTAAATAAATTGTAGCGAATTTTTAAAATGGCATATAAAACTCACAATATATAGGTTTTCTGCTATGTGAACATACACTTAAAGGCGCGTTAATTACGATAGCATTAATCGGCGCTGTGCGATCGTGGCTGTTAGTTCCGCAGCATTTAGTTATCATAGAAGATCTCAACATAGAAAAATTTGCCTCGGCTTACGGTATCAACTCTGTTATCAGCAGTTTAGTTACGATAATTTTTGGTGCCATCGTAGGTAAGTTAAGAAAGATTGTTATATAATATCTAATCTGTAATATAACACTGTATGTATGTTTTATTACAGGAATTATTAAAGATCGGACTGGTAGCTACGAAATGTATCAAATTTCTCTACTAGTAACAAATAGTGTATTTATTTTACCTTGGATTTTGCAATTCATTTTCGTAGATTTTAGAAAATGGCGAAAGCAACGCGCGCAGAAAGGATCTAACATGGATCATCAGTGGGAATGAAGAGATGTGGGATATCTTAAGAATTAATTGATCTATATTCATCCATTTTTCTCTTTATATTTTCGCTTTTTCTTTATTAAAACATTTAATATTTTTAATTAAGCTTGATGTACATGGTGCATATTAATTCTTATGTAGCTTTCTGTTGTTTGTATATTATATTATACAAGAAATTTTATATTTTGTAATTCAGTTCTTTTTTACAATAAATTTTTTTAAACAAATTAGATTTAAATTTTTATGCGGAAAATGTAAGAATAGTTTACAATATTTTTAGAAGGAAACAAAATATATGAGATGTGTACAAGATATACAATATATTATTGGAATTGAAACTACATGATTTTTATAGCACTTTATTTGTTCAAAATTATATTAAGTATAATAAAATAATTATTAATTTTATAAGTAATTATAGATTATAGATTTTAAATTAATAAAATATTAAAAACTCTATAATATTAGTAATGCAAATCTTATCTGCAAATAAGTTGTAGAATACAATATGTCTTGATATATTTGTAATTTTTTAACTATAATATATATAATATCGATTTTTCCATCTGTGTCTTACATTTGGAAAAATAAATAGCAAATTATTAGAGAAATATACTTACTCAAATGAGATTAATAAGTAGAAAATAAATTGTCTTACTAGGGCAAACGTCAATCTATTTATATTTGACTTTATGCAGATGGAAATGTTAACTTTTGATTATTCTTTATAAGATGTTGGTGTGCGCGGCTCTATTTTAATCTTGAATCCATCATGCCTTTTTAAAATAATATCAGCTTGTAGAAAGAAATCTTTCTCCGGCGTTTCAGAAATAATACGGTAATTTCTCAATATTGTCGACAGCAAAACCTTTAATTTCAGCATAGCGTATTTCCGTCCTACACAAGACCTTTGAAAAACATACTGTTGTTAACGAATATAACAAAATATTTTTACATATCAATATTTCAAAAACAAACATTTAAACTTAAATGTAATTTTTTAACTATGAATAAATGTAATTTATAAAAGTTTCAGAAAAAAGAATAATACCAATTTAAGGCTAATAAGAGTCAAGGACGAGGTGCGTAATCTTAATGTAGAATGATGACTTAACTCCAATATCTCTGACGTCTTTTCTTTATTCACAATGATTTCGACTCTTTTTTGAATCTTTCTCAGCATAAAAAGCTTTGAATACAATAAAAATCAGATATTCATCCAAATTTTATTGCATCCAAGAGCTTCTCAACATGCTTATGAGTCCGTTAAGCGTTCACTTCAGATTTGGAAATCTGGAGAGTGTTTTGCCTTGACGGACTACCGAGTTATATTTGCGTTATATTTGCGTGATATCTGATGAAGAAAGCTATTATATACTGAGGAAGACTCAAAAGAGAGTCGAAACTTTCATTATGAATAAAGAAAACATCACAAAGATATTGGAATTAACTCATCATTCCTTATTAAGATTACGCACTTCGTCCTGCGTTGACTCTTATTAGCCTTAAATTGGTATTATTGTTGTTTTAAATAGTGAAAATCCAGTTAAGTTATTCAATTTTATTATTCAGAAAAAAGATTACTAAAAAGAGAAACAAATTATTACTATAAAATATTAATAAATATTAAATACCTTGGTCCAGCACTAAAAGGAATATAGGCATAATAGTGTCTTTTTTGTATATTTTCCGGTAAAAAGTTGTCTGGATTAAAAACTGTTGGATTTGGATAATATTCCTCTAAGCGATGTATCAGGAATTGTCCAATCACTACTGTAGTAGACTTTGGAAGAACATAATTTCCTGTAACTATAAAATAAATTAATTATATATGTACATCTCTCTTCAATTTATAAATGAGTTTCTTAAAGTAAATGCTTCTAGCGGAAAAATTTTTGCGAAAAGCTACATAGATTGAGACAAGATCTAAGAAATTCTTAATTTTTCATAGATATTCGTAATGGGACGTTGTTTGTCTGAAAAACCAATAAATCCTGCTCAAACAACGTCCTTCTAAGTTCTATTACGAACATCTACTAAAAATTACGAATTTCTAAGATCTTATCTCAATCTATTATGTAGTTTTTCTGTAATTTTTCATAAAAATTTTTTTCCGCCAGGCTGCAACTTATAACTCACGCACATCTCTAATATTATAATAATTGTTATTATTTTAATAATGTATTTAAATCTAAATAGCTTACCTATTTTTACTTCCTCATTAAGGCGCCTGGCAATCATAGGTACCGGTGGGAAAAGTCTCAAAGTTTCCATAATAACTCTTTCGAGATATTTCATTTCTAAAGTATCTTGAAAAGTGCATTGTCTGTTGCTGTCACCAAAAATTGTATCCAATTCTTCGTGTACGCGAGCCTGCACACCCAATTGAAAATGAATTAAAACAAAATAGAGAATTGGTGAGCGGTTTACCCTCATTTTTAATTCAATAACCAACAAACCAACCAACGTTCTATTGCCTGGAAATGATTTCTCATATTATTCTACAAAAAAACATCTGTACTTCCTTTTTTATGTGTTCGTTGAATAATTATGAATAATTTATAAAAAATCTAATAAAAATTCCGGAAAAATTCTTGAAGGTTAATTGGATCAAATTCATCATTTTTTGTCTCTTAGACTTTTTTGATAAAATCAGTAGTTTTTAAGATAAAAAATGTCTAAGCTTGAAAAATGATATATATCTTTAAAATTTTTTTCTCGTAAACTAATCATCCAATCGGTATGAATAAAAAATAAAAAAAATATTCGGCCAATCTTAAATTATAAAGAGGATTTCATTTTATTTTCTATACTGTTATTGATAGTGAAAAAACTTTATCATATAATATAGCTCTGAAGGCAGCACGCTTTTCTGTGTTGAAAATCTCATTATTCGATTATACATGCTTTTGTTTGGCTTCGGATTTGAAATGTTATTTAGTTTGTAGATGTTCTAATAAATACATAAATAAAGATGATGATAATAAAGATCTAAATGAATAAAAGTGCAATAAAAATATTTAAAATATTGATGTTTTATTAATTGGGGTAAATATTGGTGTTTATATCCTATTGTTAGATATATAATAAATATTTCAACTTTCAAACAAGCGTTGTGCCATCTGCGATACCAGTTCACAATTCGATGTTGAGATCGCTCACGAGCCGCAGACGTATCATCAGAGTTTTATTACAATAAAGTTTTTATGCCCTGTCAGTAATAGTACAGATTAAGATAAAATAAAATTCTCGTTGTAGTTAAGATTGGTCAAATATTTTTTGTTTTTGATTCATACTGATTGGGTGACTAGTTTGTGAGAAAAAAATTATATAGTCATTTTTCAAGTTTAGACATTTTTTATTTCAAGAACTAGTAATTTTATCAAAAAAGTTTAAGAGACAAAAAAATGTTTATTATGATTCAATTAAGCTTATAGAATTTTTTTCGGAATTTTTATTCGAAGTTTAGACTTTTAAAACAAAAAATTATTAACTATTCAACGACCACATAAAAAAATTAAGATGTATAGAAATATTTTTTCTCAGAATAGAGGTATCGAATTAAATTATTTCCAGCAACTAAAACGTTCGGTTAATGCATTTTCTAAGCGACTTTCTGAGAGTAAATTGCTCGCATGGAATGAATTATTATACGACTGTTATCGAAACTAAGCAACATCGACTTTTAGTTTAGCTCTCAGAAAGGAATGAAGATCGTGAAATATTATGTTTTTGAATTATTATTTTAATTTAATTTAAATATAAATTTAGTTATCAACAAATAAATAATATGTTAAAATGGGTAATGCAGTCAATGGTAAGAAATTATTTATGAAGATGTGTATTTCATGTCATACCACGGAAAAGGGTGAAAAACATAAAATAGGTCCTAACCTATATGGCATCATGGGCAAGACTTGTGGAAGTATGTGTTTTATTATAAATATCCCAATGTTTTATAGACAATATCTTGATTGAGAAAATACTTTAATAAAAAAGAATTTCAGAAAAAAATATTTTAATAATCGCTTAATAATATTCATGCGTAAATATATAATACTGTTAAATGATAGTATAGAAATTTAATTTATTGTGTAACTATTTTATTTCTTCTATTCTAGCTATTTCGGGATTTAAATCCACGGAAGCTATGAAGGAGAAAGCTATTGTGTGGAATGAGAAGACCTTAAACGACTATCTTGAAGTTCCCAAGAAATTTGTCCCAGGAACAAGTATGGCATTCTCTGGTGTCAAGAAGACCGAAGATCGAAATGATTTAATAGCTTTTTTAGCTACTTTGAAGTAATTGTGTTTTAATAAAACAGTGTACAACAATTTTTCAGCACAAATGTAACATGCAAATGATGAGAAACTATCAGTTAATAATTAAAAATAATAATAATGAAGATACTTGAATATCTGGATGATTTCCTAAGACACAAAGTGCAAAACTCGAGCCAGCTGCCGTAGTATCATGACCCTGTAATAAATCGATAATTACTTTTTTTTTAAGTAAATTAATAATTTACAATTTATTATAGCAATGCAATACGAGATATTTTGTAGAAGCTAAGAAAAATTTAAATTATAAAAATTCACGTTCAAAGATTTATAACAAAATTTACTTTCGAAAGGAAATTGAAAATATCGTGATACCTCAAACATGATGGTATTTACTTCTTCCCAGATTTCTTCATCAGTCATTTGTCCATTCCTTTTTAATTCGAACATCATTTCTAGGAAAGCAAGTCGCTTTTTCTCACCTACGTCATTCTCATCGATGTCATCAAGATCATCTCTTACATAATGCATATAATTAGCGACATTATTTTTAACGTTTTCTACATTTTCGATTATCTTCGAATTTTCTATTGGTTTATCGTTTTGTGCCTCTTTTAATTGTTGAGATTTTTCATATTTTTCTTCGACATCTTTTGATTTTTCTTTGATTACTTGTTCTGTCAGTGTATGAATAATTTTGAGGAATTTCTTTTGGAGAGTCGAAAACTTCGAAAATTTGAAAAATATATCGTACCGTTCTGACATATTAAAATGTCTTCGATGTAAAATATTGCTCATTCTACAATATTCAATTATAATGAGTGCATTTGTTACATGATAAATTTTTAATAAAATATTACGTGTTAAGGAAGCAACAATATATACTTCATCACGGCCATGGCATAATCATATCCGGTTTTTGGTCTTCTTTCTTTCATAACTCCCATTGCTGTTTCTGTTAAAATGTCAACCGTTACCGCTGATAGATAATCGTGGCAATCGAATTCCTTTCCAATTTTATCGCGAAGTTGATTCACGAGATCTATGCTGTTTTCATAAAAAAAAGGCACAAATGTCTTTAAGATATTCATATGAAATGTAGGCGCAATCACTTTTCTATGTCTGCGCCATTTGTCACCCGATGTGATCAGCAAACCATCTCCAAGCCATGGTTTAAACAATCTATAAATGGAGATAAATAAAGGATTATTTAATTACTCCCAGTAATAGTAATAAGTCTTATAATAAATGACAGACCATTTAAAGAGAGAATTAAAATTTGCATCTTTAGTTGTAAGATATATATAGGAATAAAATACATTATACACTGAGAAAAAAATGTTGTTAATTCAATTAAAGTCTATATTACAGGCTATCACTAACATAAGTGATTAATTCATGATTATGAGTAAGAAATCAAATTAATTAAAATTATGAAAATTTATGCATATATATATATATATATATACATACATATATTATGTACCTACACTGAGAAAAAATGCTGTTGAATTAATTAAAGTCTATGCTACAGGCATAAGTGATTAATTCATGTATATTTTTATTGACATAAAACCTTGATTATTGAAATAATAATTTATGGTGAATAAAAGTATACATGAATTAATCACTTATGTTAGTGACAGCCCGTAATATAAACTTTAATTGAATCAACAGCATTTTTTTCTCAGTTAAGTACATAATATATACAGGGTGTGTCACCAAAATTCGGACAAATTTCAATTTAAATTTTCCGCTATATTGTGCTTTTGCCAGAGGTTGTTGTTGGCCGAGAAAGCCTGATGTTTCTAGTAAACAGTCATATTCTCAAAATGGCTGCGATGTTGAAACCAAGTGCGGATATAATCGAAGAGTTGCGATCATCGAAAGCCTTCGCGCTGAGCACTCAGCAATGGAAATAATTCGGTTCTTTAGATACCCGAGATCAACTGTTTATGACGTTGTAGCAAAATATACGGCTTTAGAACAGTCCAAAGATTCCAATATGCCAGTGAAGAGTCACTCGAAAGAACGCTCCGCGAGGACTCCTGCAGTCGTTGAAAGGACTCAAACGCTGATTTCGGATGAGCCAGGAAAATTATTGCGAAAATTAGCATCGATTGTTGATTTAAAAGGGAGCCAACAATGTGTCGAATTGCCAAGGAGGACCTTCGATACAAATCAATACATTAAAGATATGACAGATGCTCTCTGAGACTGTACAAGCCGAGTTGCTCACCTCGGCTCCTATTCTGGCCTCCCAACAGCCCAGATTTAAATCCCTTGGATTACTACATATGGAGCGTAGTTAAAAGGGTCACAAACAAGTCTTGGCATCCCAATGTGACGTCATTAAGGATCGCTATTGAAGCAGCATTCGTTGGCATGGACAACGCTAAGCGTGCATGCGAACGTTTCAGATCGAGAATAGAGGCCGTCATTCAAGCTAATGGGGGATATATCGAAAAATTGTGCTCTACAGGGATTCCTCAAGTGCCATGTATAAGGATTTTTTGTAATATTTAATTTTTCAAAACATTTTTTTTTAAAACATTTTGTTTAAAGAAATTATTCGATTTGTCCGGATTTTGGTGACGCACCCTGTATATGCATAAATTTTCATAATTTTATTAATTAATTTGATTTCTTACCTATACTCGTCAGCTTTGTCGATATGTACAGAACTACTTAGGATTATTTCAATATCTTGTGGATTCATCAAAAAAACTATTGTTTTTAAGCCTACATATACGCCGATTACATTTCCATATGTGGTATAATATTTCAAAGCTAATTGGAACAAAAATTCGGGAGACTCTTTGTAACATAATAATGAATGACCCAAAATAGGTATGGCTGATGGACCTAAAAGAAAGAAAATTATTGTAGGACAATATAGGAAAATCAGTTCTGACAGAGATTACAAGTGCGAACATATAGTCAAATTAAACATTTTTTATTGTTATAAATATGTACATACCTGGTAATTTTTTTATAAGACGAACTGCTCGAGAAGTTTCGACGTAATAATATGATGCAATTAATAGTGTAACAATTGTTCCCAGTAGAGAATAAATTATGATCGGTAAATGAGATGTTGTTACTGGATCCGCATCCATTGCGATTTAAAAAAGTATTTGTCTAGTGATGTAATTTGCGTAGTTATTCCTCACTTATTCAGTTATTCCTCACTTTTTTACTCACTAATTATGGTGTTGACATTAGAAGAAATAAAACAAGAATTAATGTAACAATATCTTAATAAAAATATTTCATTTGCTATTAAGCTATTAATGGAACGTTGATTATAATTTCACCTTTTCACGATGAACGTGTTTCTACTTTTGCGCACAATAATGACCGATATTTTATAGCTAGTCCGCAAGAATATATTCGGACTCTTTTCAATTATACAGTGACCTCATCAATATCACATTGTTTGTTCATTTATATCACGCAAAATAATCGTAGACCGGATGAGCTTTTAATTTCGAACTCATTAATGTTTGTCAATGTGAAACTATTGCCCCAGACGTGACATAGCGATAAGTGCAATCTTTTTACCGGAAATCAGCTTATCGATTATAAAGCAAAAATTAAAAATATAAAAAATACAAAAAAGTTTCATGTTTTCGTGATACATGACAAAAAAAAAACGAAATTATTGATGCGTTTTAATTATAGTTAATCTTACTTATAATTTTAAATTAATGTAAATCATTCATGTAAATCATTTTCTTCGTACAAACTTTAAATTATTCGGAAAAAGATGATGACAAAAAATCTAAAACTGGACTAATACAATCATACGTTTGAACAACAATGAAACAAGTATAAATTGTATTTAATATATTTTAATTTTGTTTTTTCCGTTCTCTTTTTTTCAATAGTTCGATTATCTTTATAAATAATTATTATGATATAGATGTTAAATTAAATCTACGATATACATAATTAGTTATACATAATTAGTAAAATGTATTTTAAATATACTATAAAAAGATATATCAAGTACAAGATCGCACAACTTATTTTAAGGCACAAGGATATTTACAAGAATGTCAATAGCGTTAGTAGCGATGAAAATATCATTTTTCATGTATAATTTACATTAAGTCTTAATTTTAAAATGACACTTTCGACTTTTTCGTAATACTTTGATTTAACTCGAAATGAAAAAACGGTCGAGTATTGTAACGCATTTGTAAGTAATATAAAATTTACAACAAAAATATATAATATTCATTACAATCGATTTCGCTTTTGAAAAAATGTATACAATTAATAAGCACGTATTATATGTATGTATTACGAAGCATATAGAGCTTATAATAAATATAATCGCATAATCAATATATATTTGCAACAATTTCATCGTTTCTGTTAAGTAGATCATATTTTTTGTAAATAATATTGGATAATACTATACTTGGGGAAGGGAGAGGAAGAGAATCGTTTGATAACTAATAAATTATGACAAGGGAGTTAAAGATCTGATCGCATTGTTTTATTTCGCATAGTTAAGGCACGTAAACATTTACATTTAAACGTATACATTTTTTAGCACGCCGTTAAATATTCTCTTAAAGAATACATTAAAAAATATTTGATTGCTGCAACGTCATATACAATATAATGACTACTTTTATTCTCGAATAGATCATAATATCGCAAAACAGATAGCACGACTTAGTGCTTAGAAAAATGTAATAATAACTCTTATATATTAGTATCTTAAATATTTTGTTAAAAATTTCGAATATAAAAAAGATATAAATATTAATATAACTTACTGCCTACGATTAGTTAAGGCACTTTTATATACAAATTTTTTGATTGTGTCTCGCAGCATTAAAGTCGATTCACAGATCTTTCTATGCAGAGTATATCAAACATGTAACAAAGCAAAAACGAGAAAATGATAAAAGATATTTATACATATACACACACACACACACACGTGTGTGTGTGTGTGTGTGTGTGTGTGTGTGTGTGTGTGTGTGTGTACGCATATATGCAGAATAAATAATGC